TTCGGGTGGTTTGGGTGTTTATGTAGTCACAACTAAACTCTAGTTTCTTTTTTTTGCCCTTCATACGCACTGTGTTGATGTTCGCGTCTCGAGTGCGTGTGCTCGTGCGTCTGTCTGTGGTTTGCGCTCGCGCTTGCGGTGTGCGTGTGTTCATAGTTAGCTGCATGTGCATGTGTATATCCCAGGGTCGGGTCAGAAGTCACAACACGCAAACGACACAACAACACCAGGCACATGTTGTCAACGCCGGGGTACGAAAGTAGACAACAACTCTGTGTGTGCGCTCTGTGTGCGTGCGTGCGTGTGTGTGTGTGCGTGAGTGTGTGTGTGTGCGCGCTCTGGTGTGTGTGTGTGTGTGTGTGTATGTGTGTGTGTGTGTGTTTGCGCTCGTGTGTGCTCACGCCACTTGTCGGCGATTTCACTAGACACGAAACCTTTCGAGTGCCCAGCGTCTGGCTGTAGCGCCCGCTTCACTCGTTTCGACTCTGCCAAGCGTCACATCTGCACGTCGCACAAAGGTGCTGACGTTGCTGACCTTCTGCAAACGTTCAAGAATAACAGCAACGAGGTTGCCATTGTGTACCCATGCCCCGAGAACACATGTACACAGACCTTCAGCAGCAGACAGGCGCTCTCCAGGCACCAACTACGCGACCACGGAAAACAGAAGGTCAGAATCTGGTGGTGATTGTACACGCTTGCAGCGTGTGTGTGTGTGTGTTTATGCGTGCGTGTGTCTACGCTCTTTTGTGTGTGTATGTGCGTGTGTTACTCACCAGCGGCGCTCTGCCCTATATGCCAGGCGCGTGGTCATTTTCAGTGCCGGAGCGGTTGCGCAGATGCTGCGTTTTGTACCGCGAAGGAACTCATGCAGCATGTTATTACGGATCACGACGCCTCATGTGAGTATTTGATTGTGGCCTGCCTGTTGTCTCCGATCCTGTGTTTCTCATCAGCAATGTCTCTCCTGCCCGACGTCGTTCGTTGCAGGTTGTGTCGTGCGTTACTACGCCTCGTGGAGCAGGTTCGAGTCGTGCATCGCCGCGGCAGAGTGTGACGACTTTGCCCTCGTCGATTACGTCAAGCGTGACCACACCTGCTGCTTCCCACCAAAAGCTGCCGCGTGGGGCCTCGAACATGTACAGGTGGAAGAAGAATTCGTCCGGACGTGCTCTCGGCATGGCAATGAGCGACCATATCAGGGCACAATCCGCGCTCACCGTGCAAAGGCGCCAAAACCTGTTGGGTGTTGTCCAGCAATGATGTGGGGGCAGGTCTGCAAAGGCGGGCGAGTGCGGGTGGTGATGTTCAACTACCACTCACATTCGAAGGACCTGCGTCACCTACAGCTGCCAGGCGTGTTTCGTGCAGAAGTGGCACGTCTCCTTCGTGTCTCGGCGTCTTACACGGCCATTTATCATCAGGTGAAGGCGACCTTTTCCTCGCATCCACGTATCAGGTTAGATCGATGCGGTGTCTGTGTGAGTGCGCGCGTGAGTGGGTGAGTGAGTGAACGAGTGTGCGTGTGTGTTTTTGTGTGTGTGTGTGTGTGTGTGTGTTCTCTGCCTTGCGTGTGCTTGTGTGTTTTGCGCGTTGTGTGCGTCAGTGTGTGTTTTTGTGTGTGTGTGTGTGTGTGTGTGTTGTTCTCTGCCTTGCGGTGTGCTTGTGTGTAGGTGCACGTTTCTTTACCGTCTTTGTCGTGCTTTGCGTGACCTAGCATTTTTCAAGCAAGCGCATGTCTTACAACGTTGCTCAGGAGTACTAGCCTGGATCGCTTTTGATGCGGATGACGCCGCTTCTGGTGGTACGCTGCACAATCTACAACTA